AAACTGAACATCTGAAAATTTAGCTTTGAACACATAAGCCAAACAGATTTTATGGCAGAGAGAATCATGTTCTGTTCTCTCAGGAATACAGATTTTTGGTGATACTTCACAAGAATGAGAGCCAACTGAAACGCTCGAAGTCTGGTTTGCAACTGAGTTTAGACTACAAAATTTCTTTCTGCATCTGAACAAACCACAATAATTTTCCCACATGCTAAGTATTACCCCCAGCACAAAGCTACAGTGCTCCTATCAGAAGTATTATTCATTGAACATAAAAATTGTAAAGATGAGACTGGACAGAAAATACCCTCACACTGCAGTGCCCAATTACCTATGGAACTGATGGCTAGCCCCAGTTTCACTTCAGCCAAAAATGTCGTTCTACAGCCAAGGATACTGGCTGGCAGAACTTCTACCAAACCTAACAAACAAACAGACCAAGGAAACTTGGTTCCAGCAGATTAATATTTTCTGATGCAGAACACTTCACTGAAATTCACACAGAACTCTGTAAATGTTCTCATTTTTTAACACTATATCAATATCTGAGACATTTCTCCACGTGGGAGCATCTGGTACAGCATTCTTTGGACTTTGTAGCCTTCCCGTGGAAACTATTTCATCCCCCACAACGGTAAAAGATCGCAAAATTCTGTTTTACATGCCTTCTCTACACATGATGCATAATGCCAGGTTTGACCATAACTGATAAACCAGCTCATTTCTAGCCACACTTAAAAAAAAAAAAAAAATTGGTAATTCAATACTGTATTTTTAAACTAGTTACTTCCTAGCAGTTTTCTGAGGATTTGCTTTATCTTATTTATAAGAGAAGATCGGAAGTAATCAATAACTCCAAGCACAGTGGCTTTGGACATGAGTATCAGTAGCTATGTAATTAATCATTTATGAACACTTCTCTTTGAACCAAAACTACTTCGAAGGTAAAATTAAGTATGCTTTAATATTTCTTATCACAATGTAACCACCCCTACAAACCAATCACTGAAGTCTATGGATGTAAAGACAATTACAGCACATAGCATCACTGGAGAAAACCCCTAGAACAGTAAAAATAGTTATAGGTTTAAGTTTATAGATCTGCCTACTCAAAGGCAGCTTTCAAGATTTCTGTGGATCCATTCTCTCCAGGCAGGTGTAGTTTCACATTTCTTCTGTACAAGGTATCTTACAAATCATTTTTATGGAGACTCTTAAACAATTATGATATCATATTGCAAATAAAGCAGGAGGACAACAGCTGAGTAACCTAGTGCAAAGCCTTACAGCACAAGAAACCGTATTTTTAAACCTACTAACGATTCCTCACACACTCAAATACTGCAGCATGAGCTCATGCACACAGTTAGCAGACTGTGTTAAAGAGTTTAAGATGACACCACAAATTTGCAAAATAACTCTTTAGAAAGTCAGAGTTATGCTATGGTTGAATTTCCTTTAAAGCTACATCTATAGTAGGTACCTAATGGATTCCAGTATAAGGGTGTTACTATGTTCCCTGCTGTCAAGAGATTAGGAAAGGGAAAAAAAAAACAAAAGGATAAACTTTGACTTCTCAAGACAGGACAAGTACCTCTAAAGAGTTCAGTTTTAATAAGAATCCACCCAGCTATCTTAGCTCAGTAACATTAACTCACTTGGATAATAAAACAGCACTTATAACTATGTTTAAGACAAAAATAAGACCATGTAAATAAAGTTATTTGCATCTCTAAAGATAGGTAGCGGTTTTGTTTCACTATTAAACAACCGTTCAAGTTTCACTGACTTTGTACAGAACCTAGAAAGAACACACACATGGGGGAGTTCTGCTCCTCTAACAAAGTTCTTGTTTCATCCAGTAAACAAAGATGCTGCTAAATGGACCATTACAAATAGGCTGGCGAGCTAACTTCTCCGTAGCCTTAACAGATACAAGTTTTATAATTGAAAGTTACTAAAAGGATTCTCATTCTCACTTGATTGCACTGACACACTGCAGGGAACATGGTCTACATCGGCCTCTGCCACTTCAGTGGCCAGAGCTGGTGAGGTCTGAAGTGAAGCACAGACACCTCAGAATTCAAACGCTTACCATCTTCAAACCTTCCACATCATCATTACTTTTGAACTATCACTACAATCGAAATCCAGTGAGATACACTAACAGATTCTTTGGGGAACCCTTAAAAAAAAGATTACTCAAGAAGAGTAAAAATAATGCTAGTAAAAATATAATAAAGTTAATGGAAACACATTTCTTGACAAACATCATAAGCATGCAAACTTCTTTGCGATACCCCAGAGGTTCACAGCATCCCAAGAGCCACAACCCTTATCTCATTTAAAACTCTGAGCAGCACAGCAAAAGAACTCAAACAAGAATGTTCCTGATCAAGGCTTCCATTCAGCCTAATGCCGAGCACAGATGTTATGTGTCCAATCGAGCAATATAAAGTTTAAGTATTGGACTATAAAACCAAGAGGGCCAAGATTAAAAGGTCCAGATGTATTTCTGCAGCTGCGGGCACAATTCACCTTTTGTGCACACTCCTGCCAGATTTACAAACAATCACAGGAAGACAACACTATCCAGCCTCCTACATTTTCTGAATGGATGGCTGCTGTAATTTACTAAAAATCTGTCTCATTAAATTACATGCATAATAAAATATACTGAAATAATCTAAAGGATCTGTCTAGACCAGCAAATGAATTTCCAATTGTAACTGTACAAAAAAAATAATCAAGTTTAAGCAAGCTTAGTCTATTCTTGTAACTTATTGATCCTGAAAATTAAGACATTATCTTTGTGCACTGAATCAACAATAAACTTTTGAAGAGTATAACTGAAAGTAATGATAAGCCACATTTGACACATTCTAATTGCTTACTGCTCTCATGCAACTTGCTATTACCAGCCTTTAAGAATACAAAGTAAATAATTACATCATCATATAGTCTCCTGCAAAGTAATTATTAAGAATTTGAGTATTGAGATGATTTATTTTTAATTCCAAGTTCTACAGTAGTCTATTCCATAAAATAATTTAAAAAATCATAAAAGAATCGATATCATGCATAACCTATTTCTTTTGCAAAAGGAAACATATCGAAGTCCTATATCTTCCAGGTACAGGGTGACCAACTTACTCATTGTTCTCACTTTCCAATTTATTCAGCTAGGTGGAGAAGTCCCTGTGATCAGTTACATACTCAAACTCAGCAAAAATATTCAAGGTGTATTTAAAGCATATTCTTTATATGCCTGATTTTGTGCATTTCTTTAAAAAAAAAAGTTCGAGGACCAAACATTTTAGTTATTTCACAGAGAACAGACTAAACACTAAGCATTTTAAAGCACCATATTAGCATCAGATACAGACATTTCTTACATCTTCGTGACTCAGGTGACAAAACTGAAGCTGAGTGAAAGACTAGAAAAAATGCCAACATGTAAACGGAAGTTCTAGTTATCAAGTAGCATGATGTAACATTGCATTGTTCAAGGACAAGTTACTTCAAATACCAAAGCTAATGAATTGTCTGCTTAAAAATTCAGTGTACTTGCATGAGAATCTTGCTTTCAAACAACAACAACAAAAAAAATCATCTGACTGGCACTACAAACAGTGATTTAAAAATATAGTCTTATCAAAGCAAAAAATCCTGATTGGTATGTTCTCTAGCCAACACTAAAGTAACAGAAAGAGAAGCTTTCCACCTTTGTTCTAGGTCAGCATGTGTGAAGTTCACACAGTAGAATTCACAAGAAGAAAGACTGAAAGAAATACCAGTTTCAAACATAAAACCTCTCCGCTTAAGCACATACATATCATAGAAAGCAGTAAGAGTATTAAAATCAATTTAATGAAACCATCCAACGGTGAAAATTACCCTCCATGCTCAGTTACCGAATCAAGTACATTTGCATAGATGTTAGCAAACAAGTAACTATGTGCACAGCAGTGTTTTTCAGTATTGCATCAACTGAAACCTTTAACCCATCTAGTCTTCAACTACTTGCAGGCATAGTTTGCTGTCTGATCATAATTTTCTACACTGAATTTTTGTGTTCTTGGATTTTACTGGCATGGCTGAAGAGCTAGTTTTGGAGAAAAATGGCATAGTTATTCCTGGACAGCAGATGTCTCAGTGTTTCCTTCTGAGCACTCCCTGAAGTTACAAGTTCATTATGGGGTGCTGTTGATTCAGGAAAGCAACATTAAGAATCACTCCCGATCTTATCCTAGATTACCCTCAACTTTCTGTCACGCGGTCAAACATTTGTATGACTTGACAACTATTTTAAGTAAAGCTATGCTTACAGTAACTGAAAACCCAGGGGGATACTTCGGGGAAAATCACTGCTTGGAATTTCTTGCTTCCATGCTAGTTCATCCAGTTCTCCTACTTCCATCCCACAGCACAGTGCTTCATGTTTGGAAGTTACCCAAGTCACTGCTTCCAGAAGTTGCCCTGAGGTTTTAGAAGTCCCAGAGCATATGGTGCAAAGTTTGTTAAGATGATACATATGTGGTTGCCCCCAGATGTCAACATGAACATGGAGTTACTGAACTCTGGAAGGCTAAACTGTAATGGAACAGATTTTTTTCTTGCATGCATAAGCTTTAAAAAAGGAAACACTGTAAGAAGAGTGGTACAGTAATGCTAATCTACACTGCAGATCTGTGTCTCCTTTTTACTCTTCACTTTTGAAATCTTAAACGAAGGCTTCATGTTTCAATTGAGAAAATTCACAGTAAAATGAGAGCAGTATCTGCTCATGTTCAACATGCTTTGGCCGGTACTTCCGAGGGGAAACACAAGGCCATAGCAGACATAAAAACCAGAAGGCAATTTCAAATCTACATCTGAAATTCTGGCCTGCAAGTGCTCCAGAGTAACAAATCACTTCCAAAAGGAATCCTGAATCCAAACATATAGTACAAACATGAATAATATCCAAATTAAATAAATGGCAACATAATTTATACCTTTGTTACCATGCAGAAGTTCTGGTGGCATGTTATTTAAAAAAAAGCCTTTTTTCCTGCTATTTTTCCCATCTTGCTTGTCTCCCTTTCAGGAGCTCTGTAAGAGAAACATTGAGTAGGTAACTGAAGAACAAAAAAAAAATACAGCCAAACTCAAATGACTGCTCTCTAGGCTCCAGCTGTGGCCTAAAAGGCCTCTTGAGGCTCCTGTATCGTGCTGAAGCTGAGCTCAACAGAGTCATCTTGGGAACTGGGTGTTGTAGACTCCTTTGCTAAACTATCAAGCTCCAAAAAGCAATCAGGAAAAAAAAAAAACCAAAAAACAACCTGAAAAATCCCTACACTAGGACTGACAGAGCTCCACTGACCTGCAACCTGGACCCTGCACAGCGATGTCCTTCAGCCCCCACTACCTGCCCCGTCCCCAGAGACGAGCCTCACGGCTGAGAAAGTGGTTCTGCCACCCAGCCCGCAGCTCGGGGCACCTGAGCTCTGCCGCCTGCGCTGAGACGTGGAGGGGAACACCGCTTCGATCCAACATGCTGTTGACTCAGCTGCACAGGCCTACGGCTCGCAGCACCCCCAGAAAAGCGAGCGAGTCAAGGATCCCGCGTCCGCCGAGCAAGAGAGCGCGGCGCCCGGGTGACCGCGCTCCCTCGGCCCGGGGACCGCCAGCGCCCGGCCGGCCCGGCCCCCGGGCCCCGGCCAGACTGACAGGACAGCCCGCGGCGCTGAGCAG